AGGGAGCTGAGTGTGCAGGGAGTTGAGTGTGCAGGGAGCTGAGTGTGCAGGGAGCCGTGAGTGTTCAAGGGTCCCAGAATGCCCTTGGACCCCTGGGGCCACAGAGTGCCCCGCTTAGAGGGTCCAGTCCCCAGCTGTGAGTATGGAAGAACCAACGCGCAGAAAACGTGGCAGATCTAGGACTCGGGGCAGGGGCATCAGGGGTGTCAGTGCGGACACCTGTGCCCGTGGTCGGCTGAGATGGGATCTGAGTGACAGCTGTGTCCTGCGGCTGCCGTTCATGGCAACCCACAGGCTGCGGACGGCTGTGGGTGTGCAGGTTTTGTGTCTCCTGTGGGGAAAGGGCCCAGCCCAGGCCAAGCCCTCTCACCGAACACAGAATAAGTCTCTGCTGTCCAAGCCCTCGACACACTCATGTGAGGGGGGTCTGCTGTACAAGAAAGGAGGAAGCGTGTGTGTGTGTGCCCCCTAGACACGGTTCACTGTCTCGCCCTCCTTCTACAAACAGCCTGAAGGGTGGCCTGACACACCCTTGGCAGCTCGGTCGTCCACTGGCCCCTCAGCTGCTCGTGGCCTTATACCTGCCGTGCATTTCACACACCTAGAGGTCACACACCTTCACTGCCACGAGATACCCACGCAAAGTGCCCACTGCACGCGTGGGCCTTCTCTCTCCTGCTCTGGGCAGCCCTCCTCCCCTGGCTAGTCACGATTTGGCTCTGTCTCCTGGAGGCGGGAGCCTGGGGTCGAGAAGCCAGGCCCTTCTCAGGTCACTTAGGCCAGGACCTGAAACCCGTCCAATGCCCTCCCCATGCCCGACGGGCACCCTGATCCCCACTAGAGGGGGCAGCTACCCTCAGACTCCCCAGGGGTTCACGGAGCCCTGAGGCCTGCCGGGGCCTGTCCTCACTGCCATGCTTCCTCCATCCCGCCAGGGGTGTTCCAGTGTCTCCGAGTGAAGGGCCAGGACCTCATGCATCTCAACATAAACGAGGTACGAGCAAGCAGACCCTGGCAGGGCCCAGGAGAGCGCGAGCACACCAAAGCCCTTGGCCCCAGGCAGGGCAGGCACTCACAGTGGGCAATCACAGGAGGTAACGGCGGCAGGTTCTGTGCACTTGGCAGCAGGACAATCAGCGCTGTAGTCCTCGGAGCTGTGACATCTTCTTGCCCTGGTGTCTGCTCATGCTGCACCCCAGAAAGGGGGTGCGGGGGAAGCAGAGCAGGCCTGGAGGGCAGAAGGGGAGAACAAAGCTTCCCACTGCTCCTGCCAGGCTCACAAAGAGCCAAGCCAGCAGCTTGCTTCCCTCCCCTCGGCTCCACCACTGCGCAGGGCCACCTTCCTCGGAAAGAGGGTTGCCAAAAAGCGAGCCCAGCCCTCACCGCCCTGTGCGCAGTGTCTCTGCGAGGCTGTCTCTCCCCTCGACAGGGAGAGAACACGTTTTCATTCCCCGTCCCACCTGCCCTACACTGGACGTTCACTTAGCCTTTGGAAACAGTTTATCCGGCTTGGGAGATCTGCCCACTGTGCAAGCCTGAGGCCCCAGTTCAGACACCCTCACACACCAAGCCCGTGTAAAAAGCCAGGTTCGGTGCACGCATCCATTAATCCCCAGCACTGCGGGCTGAGGCAGGGTCAGCCGTGTGGCCAGTTAGTGAGCTGAGGGTTCAGGAGACAGCCGGGCTCAAAACATAAGGTGGGGAGGATGGCTGACACCACCCTGCCCTGCACACTCGCGCACACGCACACTTACACAAGATAATTACATATGCAACACACCCAAAAATGGGTTTAAATTTTTTTAAAGAATGGTTTCATGTTGAGACAGAAGTCCAAATTTGTAGGCAAGGTGGCCAGCAGAGTTCTTGTGATGTAAGCAAGCTGAGGGCGCTCCCGGGCCAGACTGGCCTTGGAGGGCACGCCCTCATGTCTCTCTGCTTCCAGTTCATCGGCTTGGCCGTCAGCATCTGAGGCTGCGCGGATGAGGCGCTGTCTGCCCCCTGACACCCGGCGTCTGGACGCGAACCTCGGCATTCTTGCCGGAGAGCCATCCTGCCCGCTGCCCTCTCCCAGCCTCACACCGCCTCCTCCCCTTCCCGCCATGACCCGGAAGAATCCAGAATCTGGCTGTGCTCTCTGGTTCTGCGATCATTCTTCACCAGAACCAACAGTGCCGCCTGTGTCTGTGCCCACGCCTGCTGTCCCCAGACAACCCTCCTCCCACTGTCCCTGCCTCCACCAAGATCATTCGATGCTCTCGTTCCCCGAATCTTGCCTCAGTGTGCTCCAGCCATGCTATCAAGACACACGCAAAAATAAATAAATAAATAGTTTTAAAAAAATGTTTTTCTTTACTTTTTTCATTCAAGGGAGGTTGATAAAGATGTTCATCTTGGACGGAATAACTAGAGCATGCTGGTGCTGTGCGTCTAAAATGCTGTTCTAAAGTCTACGGGTGACTGATGGTTCCTCTCTCCCTGAGTGTGTGTGTGTGTGTGTGTGTGTGTGTGTGTGTGTGTTGGAGGAAAACCTCCCCTCAACCTCAGGTGTCCATTCCTCAGGCACTATCCACCTTGATTTGTTGTAGCAAATAGAAAATGAGGTTTGGGCTATATAATGTTATAATTATTAGCCCTAAGATTATCATGGCATCATTATCTAACTGCTATCACAAATAACAAGACTCGGACACCTGTTAGGTTTATAGTTGCCTTATTTACCTTGGATCGGGTGATATTTTCCTTACATTGTCTCAGTATCCTCACCATCATCTCCCAGCCCCCATCCAATGCCATCTGCCTTCATCTTCCTCATCTGGTCAACCTTCCATCCATAATCCCATGGTACTTGCTTGTATTTTTCATCTGGGCCTCTCCCCACCATTATTGAAGTTCTTTCTTTTGGCCCACGTGGTTTCTTTTCTGTGATAACCCATCATGGTGTCCTCCTTCCTCCTCTCTTCCCACCTGTCTGTTTCCCATAATTCTGTCTTCAGCCCCAAAGCCCAGGAACCTTAGCCACACCTACCCCATTCTGCTCTGCCCAGGCATAGGCTGCTTAATTAGCCAATCAAGTAGGTTTGCACAACAAAGATAGGTGTGCCCAGATATGGAGGGCTAGTCCCATGCATCAGGCCAACCTCCAACAATGTTTTAATTATTATAGTTTGAATTGCATGCATACATGTATATCCGTGTGTAGGAGCACATAACTATAGTTGCCTTCAGAAGCCAGAAGAGGGTGCCAGATACCTATAGCTCAGATACCTATAGCTTTGCGGGCTGAGTGACAAGGTGCTAACACTGAACATGGATTCCCTGCCAGAGCAGTCTGGGCTCTTTCCTGTAGGAGCTTTCACTGGCCTGGAACTCACCAGGTGGGCTAGGCTGGCCATGCAGTGAGTCTCCACCTCCCCAGGCCTGGGCTAAAAAGTGAGTCCATGCCACCACATTCATTTTTTTAAACATGGCTTACGAGGCAGGTGCTTTATCCACTAAGCCGTCTCCCAGCCTTTTAACATTAGTTTTTAAAATATTTATTTTTAATGATGCGTCTGTGTGTAAGAATCACACGAATGCAGATGCCAGAAGCATCTGGAAGAGGGCATTAGATTCCCTGGAGCTGGGGTAAATGACAGGCAGTTATGAACTCTTTTTTGGGGAGTGGGGGAGGTCATGCCTCAAATTCATAGAGATCTTCCTGCCTTTACCTCCACGGTGCTGGGATTAAAGTCGTGTCCTCCAGGCCTGGCTGGTGGTGTTACTCTTAACCCATGAGCCATCCTTCCTGCCAGCACTACTTTAAAAGAATTCTCATTTCTTGGAGAAATGACCCAGTGGTTGAGAGCACAAACTCCTCTTGTCAAAGTCTCCGCACTCACAAGTGCTGACTCACAATCGCCTGCCACCAACTTTCGTTCCAGAGTGGCCTCCAGGCCTGACCCTCGCCGCAGCGCTGTGCTCAGGCCTAAGAGCATGTGCATGAGGCACTGTCTTTATAGGCCCTAGGCTGAACCCCCTGGGTGTTTCTGTAGGTCTTTACATGGAGTCTTCTGGGCTCTATCTGGTGCAATATACAAAACAGCCCCTGGCGTTCAAAACTTGGGGCTGTCTCCAAATCCCCCCAACCCTGCCACCTCAGAGCCTCGTGGTCCACCGAGAGGCTGAAAAACAGGGCATGTGACTTGGGCAGGGGTACCAAGTTCACTGGTGCCAGCCCAATTCAGGGCCCTGAATCTTTGGTGAAAACAGAGCATCATTGTGTTGAGAGCCAAGCGTGCCTGCCAGCTCCAGGGTGGTGGCTCCCACCACCACAACTGTGAAGCAGCAGTGGGATGTGCTGGCCACCGGTGTGACTGGGCCCTGGCTCCCAGCCCCTGGGCCTTTCAGAAGGGAAAAAAAAAAAAAGAAGTGGAGGAGAGAGCTCAAAAGACCTCCAGGATACCTAAGGTGCCCTGGAGCACTCTGAGGACAAAACTGGCCTCTTTGTCTACAGGGCTGTGCTGTGAGGAGTTTTGTTCCTTTCAATGAGAGGGAACAACCAGGCAGGCCCTGGAGCCTCTGGGAGCAAAAACAAGACAGCACAGCAGAAACAGAAACAAAAACAGCTTTGGAGGCTGTGTTCCCGTGCTCTCTGAGATCTCTGCCATGTCACTCTGAAGTCCTCAAGCTTCAAGGCTTGAAAGCCAAGCGAGGTGGTGTCTCCCAGTCCAAGGAGCTAAGGAGATATAGGGAAGAGGAGAGGATGATGAAGAGACCTGCCCCATTCCCAGACAGTTTTGCCACACAGGACCTGGCTTCCAGGATCTTCTCCACTCTCTTTTTCCCATCACAACTCTGGGAGCCGCCATATTAGACGCTATGTAGACTTGGCTGGCTCTCTTGTAGCCCAGAAACACCATCTTGGGAGTCTGCCAGATACTGCTCACTGTTCGGACTTAGCCTGCTCTCCTGCAGAGTCTACCGCCGACACTTTGGGATTTGTCCCCATGGTCCAGTCTCAGAACACCTCATGGGGACAGTTCCAGCCAATTGAAATAGGGTGTTAGTGGGTTCCCCATGAGGTCTGAGCAACCCCCCCCAAGCCCACTCTGTGACACTGATTCTTTTCACACCCTGGCCCTCCATCCCCCCTTTGCGTTCACCGGCCTTTGCTCAGGCTCGCTGGGGGTTCCTTCTGCCCCCCTGCAATCCTGGCTAAGGGTCCCCTCCAGTCACTGTTCTGCTGCTGTCCGGGGCCTGGGCTTCTGCACACTTGTCTGCACACAGCTGGAGAGGAGTATGTCCGCACTCCCGCCCTCACCTTAGGGAGTCACACTGGACACCCTGCCTCAGCTGCTCCGCCTCAGGTTCTGAGACAGGCTCTCACTAAATTTGGAGTTTTCCATTTGAGGTGGACTGGCTGGCCAATGAACACCCAGTGCTGGGATTGTAGCTTTCGTGTGTGTGCGGGGGGCTTGCACGGTGGCTGGGACTTTGCCCCGAGACATCTCCCCAGACCCTTCATCTCCGCCTTCTTAATGCCTTATAGTGGGGATTATAGTCAACACAGGACTCCTTGGGGCCACGGTGAAAGCACAGATTCAGTCAAGGCATTACTTCTAGATTTCTTTCTTCCTTTCAGTCTATCAAAGGTGTTGCCCCTTTTCTTACAGCTCACAATCTTTTCGATGAGAAATCTGTTGTCATCCTTACCTTCGTTCCTTGGTGCGCATCGTTTTCTTGGGACGGGACGTCCTTGAACACCTCCCCCTTACCGGAGGAGGAAGACGAGCTGTGGTCTCTGTACTTGGCGTCCATTAAAGCTCCTGATTTCTTCTTTTAACCTTACGGCTCTTATCAAAGTTCAAAACCAGTTACTTCTTTCACGTGCTTCTTACTTCTCTACTTCTGCATCTGTGGACAATTCTGGGTTGAACGCATTTGATAGCTTGTATGTGATTTTAATTTCAGTGTGTGTGTTTGGCCTGAACTTACACATATATACTGTGGACAAAGCCAGCAGAGGTCAGAAGAGGGTGCTGGATCCCCGAACTGGAGTCACAGGGGGCTGGCAGCAACCACGTGGGTGCCAGGAACAGAACCTGGCTGTTCTGAAAGAACGAGCTCATGGACCAGCTGAGCCACCCACCTGGCCCTATATGCTTTTCACTTTTTTTTTTAAAGATTTGTCTTATTATTTTATGTCTATGAGTGCTCTGCCTACATGTATGTAAGTGCATCATGCGTGTGCCTGGTGTGCACAGGATTTACAAATCCCCTGGGACTGTAGTTACAGTTGGTTGTGAGCCACAGTGTGGGTGCTGGGAATCGAACCCGGGTTCTCTGAAAAGCAACACGTGCTCTTAACTGCTGAGCCGGCATTTTTTTCAGTGTTCTATTGTTAGGCCCAGCAAGAGCCTAAATATAAGAAGGTTTGAAGAGAACTCAGGAAACTAATCATCCATCGATGCAAAATCGCAAGAGGTTCATTCTGACCATTGCGCAATGGGGTCACCCCTGCTGGTCAGCAAGGAGTGGCCCCGGGAGACAAAGACCTTAGGTTTTTTAAAACACAAGGCATGGGGAATTCTAGGGGTTGCCTTCTTGGCAATTCAGGATTGGATGAGGTATTTAACTTTTAAAATAATTGGTTGGTTCTGGGCACCCTTAGGTCTGGTCAGCTCTGTCGTAAATATCTGATCTTCAAGTCAGTTTGGAATTTCCTGCCATATCAGATATAGCCACAGTTAAAGGTGGGAGAATGATTAACTCATACTGTGTCTATTCTGAGGAGTGGGGGGGTTACAGGCTTTGGATCAAAGGTCAGGAGAAGGATTGGGGCCATTTGGCCCAGTTTCCAAACAGAGCTCATATCACAGGCGCCAGCCGGTGATTTTCTCTGCATTTAGTAGAGATCTCTGCTTGTTCTCTTCCTTATCTCTGCCCTCACAGATGGCTAATGTCAGGAACTTTTACATTCCTCGGCTCTCTGGAGAAGCACTAAGAGGCTTTAATGTTATAGGCCTAAAACTTGAAAACATAAGTTATAAGGCAATTAAAGAAACATAGGTTACAAAGTTAGTCTGATTCTTTCACTATTATTTAATTTTTTTCTGTGTTTTTTGTTTTTTGTTTTCTCTGTCTGCTTCTCATCCATCCTGTGCATTTTCTCACCCAAGCCAGTGTGCTTTCCATCTCCCCAGGTCCTGCCTGGGTTTTCTGTCTTTTCCCTGTCTCTGTTCCATCCCCACTCTGGCTTTGTGAGCACTTTGGACACTACAAAACCCTGTTTCTATCCTTGTCTCTTAATCCATGGTCTGGCTCAGTTTAAATGATTGATTTTCCCCTCTTCCTGCTTATTC